ATGCTCAAATAAATTGGTTAGTCTCTAAGGTGCCACAAGTACTCCTTTTCTTTTTTTGTCTCTGGGGTGGAACTCATACTATATGTTTACAACAGTATTGCTCATTCTCATTGTAAGCATGGGCCTGTCACTGACAGGTAATTAAAGATGCCTCTCACTGTGGTTGTTCTTCAAGTGCTTGTCCGTATATATATTCCAGTGTTGGTATGCATGTGCCCATTGCACACCAGATGGATGATTTGGCCAGCAGTGTCTGTTGAAGTGACTCATTATTAGTATTTACTATTGTGCTAGGTGGTGTACAAACAAAACAAAAAGAGAGACTGTGTCACAAATAATTTACAATCTAAGAGTAAGACAAGAGACAACAGATGGAAACAGACAAACTGGGGGAATACCAGGAAACAATAAAACAGCATTGGTCAGCTTGATGGGCTGTGGTCTCAGCACACCAATAGCCTAACCATTGTCAAATTTTTTTATAGGCTTCATGGCAAAGGAGAATTTTAAGGAGGGATTTGAAAGTGATGTGAATATCCTTGTGCTTCCAACTGAGTGCATAAAGGGTGGGTCACCCCAACTTCCCTCAGAGTTTGCAGTGATTTCCTCTTTGCACACTGCATGGCCTCTTTCTTATGCAAATTTATGTAAATAGATAGGTACTTAGTTAAATTAGTTTAGTGATAGAGTTTCCTTTTTTCTTTGTAAGGAGACTGGTTTTTGTTTCTTTATGTGGGAGGTATTCTTGGTACCACTTCAGTCATCGTGGCCGAATATAAATCCCCAGGTGTTAAAGACTACCCATTCGTCACAGGAGCAATGCCCTTGAACAATGAGCATTCTAGATATTTGACTTTTCTGGGTGTGGCACATATCACAGATTGATGTGCCACCTGCAGATTGTTCTCAGAGAACCCAGAGGGTGAGAGAGTCTCATCAACAATTGCTGTTAGATAGATTGATGCATCCAGCCTCTGACATTGGTCTGCTGGGGTGGAACCATATGATTAGTTGTCTTAAAAGAGTCTTTCAGCTGCTGCCGCGAGAGGACCTGCCATCTTGAGTGTACAAGGCCCACCATCTAACTCAGATAAATCCTCAAATGACAGAGGAAGAAAGGTGCACAAAATTCAGAGAGAGAAGAGACAGAGATCTTCTCTTCCGGGCCTTTCAGCCTGCAAGAGCCATAAATTCTCTGTTTTTTTAACCTAAGGGTACTTTGAGACCAAAATGGGTTCTTCTAGCTTCTGTTTAGGCAGTGGACTCCGTCCCTCAGGATTGGCTACTCTGTTAACTCAGAGATCCTCCATTTTTGACCCTGCAATGTTAAAATTCCAATGTTGATGACTGTGGCATAGGTGACTACTGTTCCGATGGCCCCTGTACTGACTGTTTCAGGATTGTCTTGTCCAGTACTGACTTTAGCAACACCATTATTCTCAGAACTGACATCTGCATTGAGTGTATCACAGACATCGACCTCACCCAGTGCCAAGGGCCTACTTGGTATTTAAGGACCTCTTTATATCCTTGGTACTGGACTTACCTTCAGGGTCACTAATAGGGGAATCTGCACCGATGTCGGTATCAGCTCCACTACCTAGTAGATCTTTGATAGTCCCAAGAACACAGTCAGGATGGTTGCCAAACACACCAACCAGTACTGCCCTGCCTCTGCATGAGGGGCATTCTTTCTCCAGTCCAGAGGATGAGAACAGCAGACAAGCTTCATCAGCCAGATCTCTTGGGTTGAAGTATTCATGGTCATCCATGCAAGGCAGGGATTCTTTTTTTTCACTATCAGGGACACAGGAACCTAGGAAGGATAATCCTTGATAACCTCCCCTTGGACACCAGCCTGATATGTTTATCAGCTCCCTTGGCCTTATTGGGCCCCTTGAGGCATCCCTTGTGCTCAGAGAATTCCATCTGCATCTCAGTCTGGACCCAGTTTTCTCTCCTCAGCTTCCTGAGAAGGAATCATGTGCCTGATTACATCTCATGAGGAATTACAAACAGGGAAACATCCTACTTCTGCTCACATTTCTTTCAGAAGAAGTGGTAATGTCAGAATTATCTGTGTCCACTCAAGATAACTACTCATTTCAGGCTGTGATGAGGAGAACTGCCTGTAGTGATTTCTGTAGAGGTAGTCCAAGACAAACCTCACAAACTCCCTTTTTGAGTTTGTCAACACCTCTGTCCCAGATTGTTTGTTTCTACCCATAAATGAGGGTCTGTTAGACCCTGCCATACTACTGTGGCAAACCCCTGCCTTGTTGGCCTCAACATCCATCAGAGTAGATTGCCAATATAAGGTTCCCTCAAAAGATTTTGGAGAGTTTTATACTAGGGCTGTCAAATAATTGCAGTTAACTCACATGATTAACTACAAAATTAATTGCAATTAAAAAAAAGTAATCATGATTAATTGCAGTTTTAATTGCACTGTTAAACAATAGAATATCAATTGAAATTTATTAAATATTTTGGATATTTTTCTACATTTTCAAATATATTGATTTCAGTTACAACACAGAATACAAAGTGTACAGTGCTCACTTTATATTATTTTTATTACACATATTTACTCTATACAAATGATAAACAAAAGAAATAGTATTTTTCAGTTCACCTCATACAAGTACTGTAGTGCAATCTCTTTATTGTGAAAGTGCAATTTACAAATGTACATTTTTTTTGTTTCATAACTGCACTTAAAAACAAAACAATATAAGACTTTAGAGTCTACAAGTCCACACAGTCCTACTTCTTGTTCAGTCAGTCACTAAGACAATCAGGTTTGTTTACATTTGTTTACATTTATGGGAGATTATTTACAATGTCATCTGAAAGTGAGACCAGGCGTTCGCATGGCACTTTAGTAGCCGACATTGCAATATATTTACGTGCCAGACATGCTAAACATTCATATGCCCCTTCATGCTTCAGCCACCATTCCAGAGGACATGGTTCCATGCTGATGATGCTCGTTAAAAAAATAATATGTTAATTAAATTTTGACTGAATTCCTTGGTGGAGAATAGTATGTCTGCTACTCTGTTTTACCTGCATTCTGCCATATATTTCATCTTATAGCAGTCTTGGGTGATGACCCAGCACATGTTGTTCGTTTTAAGAACACTTTCACTGCAGATTTGACAAAACAGAAAGAAGGTACCAATGTGAGATTTCTAAAGATAGCTACAGCACTCGACCCAAGGTTTAAGATTTTGAAGTGCCTTCCAAAATCTGAGAGGGACAAGGTGTGGAACATACTTTCAGATGTCTTAAAAGAGCAACAGTCCGATGCGGAAACTACAGAACCCAAACCACCAAAAAAGAAAATCAACCTTCTGCTGGTGGCATCTGACTCAGATGATGAAAGTGAACATGTGTTGGTCTGCGCTGCTTTGGATCATTATCAAGCAGAACCTGTCATCAGTAGGGATGCGTGTTCTCTGGAATGGTGGTTGAAGATGAAGAGACATATGAATCTTTAGCGCATTGGCACATAAATATCTTGTGATGCTGGCTGTGACCACAGCGGGGAAAGGAGCAGAACGCCAGCAGCTACTCTGGCGGTTGTACCGCCCCATACCCTGCCCCCCCAGCCCTGTCCTCTGGTGGAGCTGCTGCTGTACAGATGGAGCCCCCGGCTCCTCGCACCTGGCGTGGGGCCCTCGGCTCCTTCTGTGTCTTTCCAGTATGCCATACCGGCTATAAATATCTTGCTGGTACGGCATACCGGAGCCTACTGCTGTACATGCGCTGCTGATATATATATGTAACCCCTTGGGGTTTAGAGAGCATGGCCCCTTTAAATCTTTTCCCTAGTGGGGCAGGGGAGCAGTGAGAGAAAGGAGGGAAACTTGGGAGTGTGGTTCTGGAGACCGAGGACAGAAGGGCTGAAGCTGGGAGGCCCTGGACAAAACGTGAAGGAGGGAGAACCTGCCTAAGTCCTGGGAAGGACAGGGCGGCCGATCGGGGACATCCCAGGACAGGAGCCAGGAGGAGCACTGTGCCAGGGAGGAATCGCCCGAGAAGGACAGGCCAGATCTGGACCCAGTATCACTGCCGCCCAGAGATGCATGGGGCTGTGAGTACTGGGGCTGGTGACTCTGCACTGGGAATAAGGAGGGAGGCTGCTAGCTAGTTAAGTGGGAAGGTGGTTGCTCTGCGTGGCTTTCCAGAAAGCGGCAGAAGAGGGCACCGGGGGTTTGTTGGGGAAAGTTCACTGGTGCTGAAGACGACCAGGAGCACCCAAGACTCACCATTGAACTGGAACTTTGCTCAGGACTCCTGAACTCTGTGTGCAGGTGCATTGCTCAGTGTCTGCCCTTTCAGACTGTGCTACCACTGGGCCTGTGGGGCCTTGGTTTGGATGCAGCCCTGTTCTACTGATCCCCCTATACTTCCCCTTGTTGTTTTTCTCCTCTCATCCCTCTGTAAATAAATATCTCTATTATATCCATTGTACTTTTCCTGTGGGTGTGTGTGTTCACTCTGGGGGGTTTGGAACACGTGCCCCTGGGATGGAGGGAATTTTTCCTGCTGCATTTCTGCGCATGCCGTCTCTTGGCCAGAGCTGCCTGCAGAGCAGACTCCATCTTGGCCACGAGGGCACTAAAGTTACGTGTATATGTGTGTGTGTGTATATATATACACACATACACGCACACACCCGCTCCCCCCCAAGATCTGCCCCACCACATCCCTGTTACCAAAGAGTCTATTAACATCAAGTTTCTGTATGGCAAAGGAACAGAGGGGCAATTGGGGTGGCCTACTCTTTATGCCTTCAGTTCAGTATGTGAGGACGCTCAGGGTGCAGGCACTGCTGCAATGGACATTGTGGTCCAAGAATCTGTTTGGAGTGCACTGGGCTCATGCGCACCAATAGTGGAATTCATCTTGAAGAATGACAGTTATTGTACAGTAGGTAATAGTTTCTTCTTTATTTAAGACCTTGTTATTGCTTAATTTCAATCACTTCTCAGGTCACTATACTGGAAAACAGCTGTCACCTGAAATACTGAACCGGCTGCACATCATTCTGTGGGACAGAGCTGCCAAGAGCTATGAGGTTTGGAAACAAACATGGTCTTTGTTTTTTGCTTTAAAAAAACAATGAAGGATCACTGTTATAGGGTGATACTGGCCATTTAAGAGAGAGCAGGGCTAGTGCACCTGTGACTCATCAGCTACAGCAACTGGATTTTACAAGAGGGCGCTTGTAAATGGAAGATACCTGGTGAGTCAAGGGGAACCTGAGAGACAGGAAAGGGGGCTGGTGAGAGCTGCCTGGGAGAGACAGTTATCAGAGACAACACCACATACCTAATATAGAATCTTAAGTCACTGTGCTGTTAACTTTTAGTCATGATGAATATTGACCATTTATTCATACCCTTTGTTTCTCATCTCCGAAGCAGTTTGTAATCCACGACAATACTTTGCCTCTCACCCCATGACAACTAAGTTTCTTTAAGGATCCTAGCCAAAGGCTTTTTGAAGCCCTAAATAAATTGTTAATTGGTTCTCCTTTATCTACTACTTTATTGACACGTTCAAAGAATTCTCACAGACAAGACATGATTTTCCTTTGCAGAAACCATGCTGGTTAGACCCTGTTATATTTAATGAAGTGAAAGTCTGTAACGCAATCCAATGGCTGGAAGTTGAAGCTAGAGAAATCAAGACTAGCAATAAGGTGTAAATTTTTAACAGGCTGATAAACCACTTGGAACAGTTTACCAAGGGTCATGGTGGATTCTCCATCACGGGCAGTTTTTAAATCAAGATTGAATGTTTTTCTAAAAGATCTGCTCTAGGAATTATTTTGAGGATGTTTGATGGTCTGTGCCCTATGGGAAGTCAGACTAGATGAGGGGAGTGGTCCCTTATGGCCTTGGAATCTATGAATGTATGTGACTATTTCAACCTTTTGATTCTTATGAAGCCTGATTTATTTAGCTTAGGAAAATGTAGTCAATTTAAACTTCAGTGTGACTGTTTGTTTGTTTGTTTATTTATTTATTTATTTTCTAGGCAAAAAACTACTCTGAAGCCCTTCAGTGGTATAACTATTCTCTCAGCTTCTATTCATCTGAGCAGATAGATCAGAACTTGGCTAAGTTGCAGAGGAATATGGCTTCCTGCTACTTTCATCTGAAACAACTTGAAAAAGTGTTTATTTTTTTTGTGGTATTGCAGTGTCAATGGGACTTGATTTCAAATTGTGAAAGGGTAAAAGGGAATGGAAGTTTGTTCTGTAGCTTTTCTGTGTTGAGTTACATGATTACACTTTGGACTTCAAGTTTTAAAAATGTACCCACTTAATTATTAATATCTTTGTTTTCATTAGGGTCCCCCCACTTCTAGGTGCTATACCAACATAATAGGGGGCATGATTTCTGCCACAAACAGCTTACAATCTAAAGAAATGATAGAGTAGAGAGAAGGGGTCCAACAGATAAATAAAATGGCAAAAGTGGAGATTTGTCATATCTTGATAATAAAATGTTTTTGATACTAATATGTTTTAAAATGGAAATATAAAACTATCCCCATTTGCTACCTGACATAGACATTATTAGTTGGGTCATTTATTGAGGGTATCATGGTAGAAGTTTTTTCTTCAGAGTGGGCAATGGTGTTGTGCACCAGCTCAGAGAGATGAAGCAGCATGACTGCATCACTGGTGGAACAGACAGATGGGGAGCAATGTAAAAAGACACAAAGGTGGAAAAGTTGGGAGGGCCTTGAAGGACAAGAAGTTTGAGCCTGATGTGGTGGGAAAGCTGCTGTACAGCAAGGCTGCCTTGGAGTTGCTGGTAAATGGACTGTCTTGTGTAAAGTTATATTCCAGCATGTCATCAGACCACTAACTTCAAGTGAGCTGAGTAACAAAATGATTGCAATGAAGTATGCATTACAGAGAGGGAGCTTTAACAGCTGTAAAGACCTAGAGAGATCTTAGCATAACAACTAGTGTCACCAGAGCAGACTCATAACTAGTATCATCTGTGTGTAAGTCTAAAAATCTTTCTACTCCTAAGATAGGACTTACAAAATGAATTAATTTTGTCTAAATTAAAAAAGCATCTTGAGCACTTGCTTTAAGTGATCACTAGATGGAGATCTAAGCTATGTTTGTACTTTACAAATGATGTACAAACTTGTCTGCTGATACTGCCTATGTGGTCTCTAATTCTGAATGGAGAGCAGAGACATGTCGTGAGGTGCAGCCAGAGTTGCCCCTTGAAGTTAGACTCACAGCAACTAGTGTGATATTCTCATTGAAGTTGAGGGCTATTCATTTTCCAGTGTACACACCAACCTGACACTGTGAGTCTCATGTCCTGTAGCACAGTGAGAGTCTTTTGGAAATTCACTATATTCTACGAATGTGTGTGACAGATGTTAGGGGAGCAGTGCTGCAGCCTCATGTGTCCCACCCAGTTAAATTTCTGTAACTGAAGACTTAAAAAAGCTGGGAAAATAGTGGACAATTTACTTGAGTCTGGTCTCTGGAAGGGCAGAGTTGCTTTTTGGAATTCTTCTAGACCAGTGTTTCTCAGATGTGGCCACCAGGGGCTTTTCTTGTGGCTACAACCTCCTGGGCTGTGATGGGGGAGGGTGGGAGCAGTGGCTCCTCCCCCTCCCTGGTGCTCCTGGATGCCTTGGTGTTGGTTGCTGGGGTTTCCAGCAAGTATTGGGCCCTGCTTGCCTCCCTCTAGAGACACCTGGGGCACAATGCTGGAGGAGCAGGCAGCTGGTGAGTTCCGCACCTTCTCAGAGGTATGGGGCTCAGGATTTGGGCTTAAGCCCAGGGGTGGCAGGAATGTAGGTTCTGGCTGTGAGGCTTCGGGTTCCAGCCCCAGGCTCTGGCTGCACCCCATCGCCCCAACCCCTGATGTCTCCCCCGATCCCCATCCTGGGCTTAATTTGTACTCAGACTTGCCAGGACTGAATAAGTCTGCTGTGAAAAATGATACTTGCATGTTTGTTAATATCACTTTTCACAGCAGACTCACTAGCTAGCAATAAATAAATTACAATGATTTGGATATGTATATGTGCATATTTATTTGTTTTTCCTTAAGCTAATTAAGTATTTTAGGAAAAAGTGTGAGAGCGGCCACCAGGAAGAGTTGGTGGCCGTACTCTGAAGCCACCAAATAATTTGTCCTGAGAACCCTTGCTCTAGACACCATGCTAATAAACACCGTATTAGAACTGGTGCATAGTTGCAGATATTGTTAAAAATTGCCTAGGTGTTTACATTTTAGGCCTCTGTTTTGAGATCTCATAACTTTTAAAAACTTTAATCTTTTGGGCTGAAGTTTTCCAGGTCTTGTACGTGCCTGAAGGTGAAACTTGGAGTAAAAAAAATTCAACTGTTTGTGAGTAGAAGGAGAGAGAAAAAAATCATTTTTCCCCCTAGAAAGAAATTCTTTCAATTTATTTTAGAGCTTTACAAGCAAAATGGCTGAGGGTATAACGTGTAAATGTAACTGGGAAACAGCCCTCACTGTGGAGAAGTGCCTTTATATATTCTTATGATAGAGGGTTTTGATTTGGCTAAATCAGAAGAATTTGAACATCACACTGCACATTCGTAGGACATTTTTAACAGTAGCTCTTAAAACAATGTTTGATCAGAAACTAGGCTGTACTATACATGTGTGTCTTAAGGGGCCCTTTAATCTAACATACAAAGACATATAACAAGTTCCAGAGTCTGGAAGTTGAAGTTAGAAAAATTCAAATTGGAAATAAGAAATTTTCACAGTCAAAAAGTTGCAATTAACCATTGAAACAGGTTACTATGTGATCATGTAATTAAAGCCTATGATAGTGTGTAAACATGAGGGGACCAACTTAAGGTTGCACAATGAACCTTAATTATGGCATTGCCTAACTTGAGTGCTTGGCTCTGCAACTTTAATGTTATTTTAGTGTTGTTTTGTGATATAATTTCCTATTTAAAAAAAGCAAAAACAAAATAACAATAATTATATCATTAGGAACTATACTGACCTCCAACTTGTGTCATCAGCAGGGTTTGTGACCATTAGATCCACAGCACTGACCTTTGCCACTTGAACTACTGGTAGCAGTAGGAAAGGAGTACTTATGGCATCTTAGAGACTAGCAAATTTATTTGAGCATAAGCTTTCGTGAGTACAGCTCACGAAAGCTTATGCTCAAATAAATTTGTTAGTCTCTAAGGTGCCACAAGTACTCCTTTTCTTTTTGCGAATACAGACTAACACAGCTGCTACTCTGAAACCTGGTAGTAGTAGTCAGCTATTAACATCTCCATGGACAAGCAACTAGAGGGGGATGAAGACACACATTTTAGCAGTGGGTTTCACAGCTATTTGCTGACAGCAGAAAAATGTAGAGACTCAGGAGATCAGGGTTCAATTCCGGCTTCTGAAGGAGAGTTTTCTATAGTGGTTGTAGACCTGTCTGTCCCTGTTCTTCCAGCTGTCCCAGTCCCCTTTTTCTCATATATACCCTCTGCTCCTGTCCACCCCTCCACCCTTGCTTTTGCCCCCATCCTCCTCTACTCTTACCCTATTCCCCACTTCCACTCTGGCTCCTGCCTCCCTCTGTGCCGATCCACCTTCCTCCCGCCCCAACTTCTACTTCCCTCACCCTGCATGGTTCCTGAAATCCCTTCTTCTTGCACACCATTCTTCATCCCTCTGAATTCAAGTCAGGCTTGGCTGCATCCTCTTTCACCAGGCTCAGCCTGCTTGCTAGCATCAGGAGCATTGAGATAATAGAAGGGACAGTCTCTCTGCTCTCAGTTGCTGTGCCCAGTGCCACGTCAGCCCCAGGCTGCTAGAAGGAGCAATTTCAGCAAAAGTCCTCCTCACCACCTCCAGGCTGGGCTGGAACATACTTAGTGCAGATGGAATCATCAGAAAATGTAGCTGACAAACTCTAAGAAGTCTCTACTGATTAGTTTCTATAGATTGAGATTTTTCAAAGGCTCCTAGCTTGGCAAATTTGGGTGAAAGTTTCAAGGAACAGCAAAAGGCGAATCTCTGATACTAGGAGAACTGCCCTGACAAATTTAAAATTCTTTCTCCAAAGCATGAGGGCTCTAGAACTTCTTAATGAAATGGTTGTAATACTCTTTTAATTTGGGCCAAACAATATATTTTCCCTAATCTCATTCTCAGAAATGGCTGAACCATTTGACATGAAACTTTCTTAAAAAAATTCAACCAGAGGCAGACACTCAGCATGGAAAATTCTAGCTTGAAGGGACAAAGTTTGGCAATGTTATAAGCAAATGGAAATAGTATTTTGAAGTGTCAGACAGTGTTAACTATTGATGGCACTACTAGCCTTCTTCACTTTGTTATGCTGTGCCACGAGGTGGGTCCTCGGCAGTAGCATAGAACCCTGGCTCTCTGGATCTTAAAGCAGAAGCCTTGACTGCGTGAATTAAAAGGTTCCACTCTGTTAGCCAGCTCATCAATCTCTATATGTTTCCCACTAGAGAGGGACAGAGCATCTAGAGAGGGACAGAGCATCACACTATGTGGGTATGGGTTACATGTTCCACCTAGATGAGGAAGCTTGCCTGAGTTTTAGAAGTCCATCCAGGTCTAATCCCCGTACATGCCCTGACAGCAGAAGTTGAACCTGGGACTTCTACATCTAAATGCAAGAGCCTGAACTGCCAGAGCTGAATGATCCACATCTGAGAATCAGGGATGCAGCAAGCTCATCAACCTTTGTGTCCCAGCCACCACTAGGCAGGGACAAAGCACAACACTATTATCTAACCTTGGATACATGTGGCAACTTCTGTTTCCGTGTACTGCTGTGTATGCCAAGTAGAGTCCAGGAGAGTCATTTCTAAACAAGATGCTCTGCAGACCCCTACCTCATTCAAGGTGAATTTCACCCCATCCAGAGGGTCAGCACAGTGAGACTGTAATAGAGCTTAGGCCTTGTGCTGGCCTTCTGCACTGGGTTGAATTTCACTCTTACTTAGCTCACAAGGTGAAACTTTCATGGTTGTGGAAAAAATGGTCTGATGTTATACTGTATCAGTTGACAGGTTTCACAGTGGTAGGTGTGTTAGTCTGTATCAACAAAAAGAACAAGGAGTACTTGTGGCACCTTAGAGACTAACCAATTTATTTGAGCATAAACTTTCGTGGGCTAAAACTCACTTCATCGGATGCATGCAGTACAGCATGCATCCGATAAAGTGGGTTTTAGCCCATGAAAGTTTATGCTCAGATACATTTTTTAGTCTCTAAGGTGCCACAAGTACTCCTCGTTCTTTTTGTAACAGTTGAGAAATAGTGTGTGACCCTGGAATTAAAGACTGTATTTGTTAAGGGGTCAGAATTAAGGGTGTGTTTGCAACTGTAATTTTAGCATTTCTTGAGTTTTAAATGTTTAACTGCTCCACAGCTCAAAAGCTTATTTTTGTGACTTTTAGTTTGTTTTTCAACTCTGGATAACTTTTCTTTTGTCTGTAAAGCACCAACCTTTATATAGCTGTGGAGCTGTATAAACAACACGTATATAATCATTAATATGTTCTCTCTCAGTTTAGCGCACCCCTGCTACAATGTGTGTTACTGACTCCTGGTCATGACTGCGATAAAATCCTGTTAATCTTTTCTGTCAACAGGCAAAAGAGGCAGTGAAGGAGGCAGAGAGGTGTGATCCCAGCAGCATCTTCACTCAGTTCAGTGTGTATAAGGTTGCGGTCTTGGAGGGTAACACTGAAAAAGGTAGAAACAGTCAGAAGGGTAATATGTTGCTGTGTACATATGAACACATGATTATTTTGCAGTTTTATTGATTTGGTATTTTCCCAACAAAAAAACCACCTTTGACTTAGCCTGTTTTTCCACCTATGCCCCAAATTCCTTTCTCCCCTTCACCTTGAAACTAATTGAAAATGCTGTCTGCATCACTGCCTCAAGTTTGTCTTCCCCAGCTACATCCTAGAGCATCTCCAATCTAACTTCTGCCCTTTCCACTGAAACTGCTCTCACCAAAGTCGCTAATCACCTTCTCTTGGCCAAATGTTAGTGCATCAGTTGCATTGTTGATTTCCTTGGTCTCTGTTGCTTTTGACAATGTTGATCATCCTCTTCTTGATTTCTTATCTACCCTGGGCTTTTGTGATACTGTACTTTCCTAAGTCTCCTCTTATCTCTCTTACCATTCTGTCAGGTTTTTTGATGGGTGGTCCTCCTCTCTCCCACTTTCTGATGGGATCTCATAGGTCTCCATCTCCAACCCCCTCCTTTTCTTCCATATATTGTATTCTGGGTCAGTGATTCTCAACCGGTGGTCCACGGACTCTTGGGGGTCACAGACTATGTCTGCTCTTATTCTCAGACTTGACTCCTTTTTCTACCTTCCTTTCTGGAGGGTCATAATCTGAGTCTTTTTGATTACAAGTAGCTTGTTTGCTGACCAGGTATGTTCACTATCTGCAGCTCCTTTGTGCTGTCATTTATGGGCAGTTGTCGCTTTCCCCTATCAGCTAGGTAATTTGCATTGACACAGATGCTTTTTAGCTTGCTTTTGGATCCAAAGCCATCAGCAGAGCTCAGAGACTCTGTCTTAAAAGGGACACAGTGAACTTCCACCTGAGTTTTGATTACTTTCCACTTTTAACTCCTGCTTCTAAAACACAAAGCGATCTGAAAAAGAAAACACAACCTATTGTGGCTCCTTTTTGGAGCCCTAATAGGATTTTAATTAAGTAGCATGGTTTGCTTGCATTTTTTTCTTTTAACCCCTTCTACAATATACACTGCATATGTCAGGAAAATGCACATTTTTTCATAGTTTAACTTCTGTAACATTATATTAACCATATCAATTTTTAACATAAGCTGTAACTGTTTCTTTTGTGCTCACAGTTTTCATGTACCCTTATCAAAGTGGCAGTCTGATTACTCAGAGCCAATTTCAGTGTTCCTAAGATTGCTTCTTTGTGCACCTCACCCCTGCTGTTGCTGCAGAGGGTACTGTCTTTTTCATTTCTTATTCTTTTACTGCAGCTTTTATCTGCTACTTCGTTTAAAAAAAAAAATCCAGAATCTCTCCCTATTCTCCTGATTGGTCTTTAAAAAGATATTGAACTTTATAAAGCATTGAGGTACCTTAAGGGTTAAATATCAAAGCCAAACAACACTAATTACCTGTGTCTGGCAAAAAGCGTTTGTCAGTTTTGCATCTTTGAATAAAAGATTCAAATAGATTTTTAGTGGTATTATTTAAAAAAAAACAACTGCAAACCAAACCAATTAATCTTAAACCAACAAAACAAGAGTTTTACAAACCAGTAGTGTTGATTTAGGTCCTTAAAACCTCACATATTTACACAATATAATATTTGCACACACACAGATACATACATACACATACATACATTCTCTTTTTCTTAACATCCCTTGCACTGCTCTAATAATTTTTCCAGAGCTGTACATAGATTACATTCCCTTTTATACATTTGGGGGCAGTTAAGTTCCAATAGAAACCCCTTATGTTCTTTTAGCGAATTTGACTAAACTGTCCATAGTCAAATGATTTAAATCCGATTGTCTCTTTGCCTCGATTATTTACATTCCTTTGGAAAAGGGCCAATTTTTCCTTTGAATGGCTGCAAAGAAACCAAGAATTCTCTTCCTATAACACTTTTTCTTTTTAACATTTTCACAACTTTCAACTGTTTAATTTCCTCCAGCCTCTGCAGAGTTAACTTGTCACTCTTTTTCCTTAAATCACGTGTTTATCTCCCAGAATGACACTTTCATCAGCTCAGATTATCGCCATTCCAGGTATTGTCCAAGGGATCTGAATTCCTCATGCTTGTACTTACTCCTTCCCTTATTCCTGCCACTAAGTCCCTCAGGGCTCCCAACCTGTTTTCCAGTCTCTTTATCTGTTGCCTGCCTTCTTGTCTGGGCCCAATCCTGCTTTCCTCACTAGAGCCTCCACATTTATTTGACAAATAAAATTTGCAGAATTTTGCAGAATTTTAAAATATTGTGCTCATAATTTTTTGACGCATAATTTTTAATTGTTTGGTGCAGAATGCCCTCAGGAGTAACTCTTGTTGGTATGAGCCAAAACATGGGTGAATGGAGCCCCACCCGGCCTATGGGTTATATATTAGAGGGAGTGTTCTGCTTTCTGTGACAACCTGACATTTGGATAAGATTGGGGTGCTAGACAAGGTTTCCATTGTTTGGCAACACTGTCTGCAGTAGCCAGAAAAAACAGGTTAACACCTTTCTAGCCAGCACTGTGCTTAACTGTGGAGAAATGCTAACATATTTACCTAGTCAGAACAGGTTTCCCAGGGGGAACGTGTGAAAATTAGTTGAAGATGTCAGCCTTTCCACAAATCAGTATGATATTTATGTTGAAATATCAGAGTACAGCTACTTTCATGTGCTTCTATGAAAAATTCTGCTAACAGCTGGTTTCTTGTGTATTTCAGCTGTGGAGGCAGTTGTTGCAATGGGGAAGTTAGCAGCAAAACCAGCTCAGCATGAAGATAAGCTACTAGCAGATGGAAGTGCAGCCACCAGCCTTCTGAGTTTAGCTGCCCAGATTGCTTTAGAGGTAGGTAGAGCTGATAATATTTTCTTGGACTTCTGCTTCATTGTCAAATAAACATAGCAGTTGTAGCCTGTCCAACTTGTATTTTTTCTTGCTATGTTCTACACAAGAGAAGACTTGGCTATGTAAACTCAAGTGTGTTGAATAAAATGAAGCAGAGGTTTATTTCAAACCAAAGAAATAAAGTTTTAAAAGAATTCTTAAGGAAAATTCCTGAGCTATAGACGTTAGTAGATGGACATTGCTTCAGATGCTTCCTTAGGTCTCTCTTCTGTCACAAGCAATGGAATTTCTGTTGTCTTCTATGGCTTGATTGCTGAAGATGCTCAATTCAGAAGGAAGAAAAGGAGTACTTGTGGCACCTTAGAGAATAACAAATTTATTTGAGCATAAGCTTTCGTGAGCTACAGCTCACTTCATCAGATGCATTCAGTGGAAAATACAGTGTGGAGATTTTATATACACAGAGAACATGAAACAATGGGTGTTACCATACACATTGTAACGAGAGTGATCAGGTAAGGTGAGCAATTACCAGCAGGAGAGTGTGTGTGGGGGAACCTTTTGTAGTGATAATCAAGGTGGGCCATTTCCAGCAGTTGACAAGAACGTGTGAGGAACTGTGTGTGTGTGTGTGTGTGGGGGGAATAAACATGGGGAAGTAGTTTTACTTTGTGTAATGACACATCCACTCCCAGTCTTTATTCAAGCCTAAATTAATTGTATCCAGTTTGAAAATTAATTCCAATTCAGCAGTCTCTCATTGGAGTCTGTTTGTGAAATATTTTTGTTGAAGAATTGCCACTTTTAGGTCTGTAATCGAGTGACCAAAGAGATTAAAGTGTTCTCCGACTGGTTTTTGAATGTTATAATTTTTGACGTCTGATTTGTGTCCATTTATTCTTTTACATAGAGACTGTCCAGTTTGGCCAGTGTACGTGGCAGAGGGGCATTCCTGGCACATGATGGCATATATCATGTAGAACCCCGAGTGGGGGTATTCTATCTGCTACCCAAGATCCATAAACCTGGAAATCCTGGACGCCCCATCATCTCAGGCATTGGCACCCTGACAGCAGGATTGTCTGGCTATGTAGACTCCCTCCTCAGGCCCTATGCTACCAGCACTCCCAGCTATCTTCGAGACACCACTGACTTCCTGAGGAAACTACAATCCATCGGTGATCTTCCTGAAAACACCATCCTAGCCACTATGGATGTAGAAGCCCTCTACACCAACATTCCACACAAAGATGGACTACAAGCCGTCAGGAACAGTATCCCCGATAATGTCACAGCAAACCTGGTGGCTGAACTTTGTGACTTTGTCCTTACCCATAACTATTTTACATTTGGGGACAATGTATACCTTCAAATCAGCGGCACTGCTATGGGTACCCGCATGGCCCCACAGGATGCCAACATTTTTATGGCTGACTTAGAACAACGCTTCCTCAGCTCTTGTCCCCTAAAGCCCCTACTCTACTTGCGCTACATTGATGACAACGTCTTCATCATCTGGACCCGTGGAAAAGAAGCCCTTGAGGAATTCCACCATGATTTCAACAATTTCCATCCCACCATCAACCTCAGTTTGGACCAGTCCACACAAGAGATCCACTTCCTGGACACTACGGTGTTAATAAGCGACGGTCACATAAACACCACCCTATACCCTATACTGACCGCTATGCTTACCTACATGCCTCCAGCTTTCATCCAGACCATACCACATGATCCATTGTCTACAGCCAAGCTCTACCATACAACCGCATTTGCTCGAACCCCTCAGACAGAGACAAACACCTACAAGATCTGTATCAAGCGTTCTTACAACTACAGTACCCACCTGCTGAAGTGAAGAAACAGATTGACAGAGCCAGAAGAGTACCCAGAAGTTACCTACTACAGGACAGGCCCAACAAAGAAAATAACAGAACGCCACTAGCCATCACCTTCAGCCTCCAATTAAAACCTCTTCAATGCATCATTAAGGATCTACAACCTATCCTGAAGGATGACCCATCACTCTCACAGATCTTGGGAGACAGGCCAGTCCTTGCTTACAGACAGTCCCCCAACCTGAAGCAAATACTCACCAGCAACCACACAACAGAAACACTAACCCAGGAACGTATCCTTGCAACAAAACCCGTTGCCAACTGTGTCCACATATGTATTCAGGGGACACCATCATAGGGCCTAATCACATCAGCCACACTATCAGAGGCTCATTCACCTGCACATCTACCAATGTGATATATGCCATCATGTGCCAGCAATGCCCCTTTGCCATGTACATTGGCCAAACTGGACAGTCTTTACGTAAAAGAATAAATGGACACAAATCAGACGTCAAGAATTATAAGATTTAAAAACCAGTCAGAGAGCACTTCAATCTCTTTGGTCACTCGATTACAGACCTAAAAGTGGCAATTTTTCAACAAAAAAACTTCACAAACAGACTCCAATGAGAGACTGCTGAATTGGAATTAATTTTCAAACTGGATACAATTAATTTAGGGTTGAATAAAGACTGGGAGTGGATGTGTCATTACACAAAGTAAAACTATTTCCCCATGTTTATTTCATCCTCCCTACTGTTCCTCACACATTCTTGTCAACTGCTGGAAATGGCCCACCTTGATTATCCCTACAAAAGCTCCCCCGCCCCACCTCTCCTGCTGGTAATATCTAACCTTACATGATTGCTCTCGTTACAGTGTGTATGGTAACACCCATTGTTTCATGTTCTCTGTGTATATAAAATCTCCCCACTGTATTTTCCACTGCATGCATCCGATGAAGTGAGCTGTAGCTCAGGAAAGCTTATGCTCAAATAAATTTGTTAGTGTCTAAGGTGCCACAAGTACTCCTTTTCTTTTTGTGGATACAGACTAACATAGCTGCTACTCTGAATTCAGAAGGAGAAGCTGCTTATATGTTCTTAAGGAGCTCAGATTCTGGGGTTGGGAAATCCTGAAGGACTATGAAAAGTTACTTGTCCCTCTTGTTTGTCTGTGATCAGTGACTGAATGGTGTGTGCACTGAATGAATGAATATTGGCATATATAGAGCAGCCCTTTTAGCTATCTCTTGGGCTTTGCTAATAATATCCCAGGTTCTAATGGCTTCCCCAAGCTGTATTGATCCTGTTCTGTCTATGGACTGATTGTGCAAGGAATCACAGGATCTTTCCTTAAGATTTTTTCCCTTGCATCTGGCGATGTTTCTTATGCAGAATCCTCTTGCCTTTCCCCCACGAGAAGGGCATATAAACCCAGCAAACATTTTCCAGTTGTGGGTAGGATGGCGTTGTTTGAGGATTGGCACAGCTTTTAGAAAACATGTTTGTTACTTGTTTTCAGACTGAACAACAGGCTGTGGCTATCAAAGCTTTGGAGTATTTATCTCAGCACTCACAAGATTGCCAACAAGTGTTCACAGCTTTAAAGTGAGTATTTGAGATACCCATAAAGGAAGGGAATTTCTGCTGCTTTTCTTTCTTTTAATTTTTTACATCTGATGAATTTTTAGTTTTCATGAAGATGAAGAACTGAGCAGGTGATGTGTATTATGCTAGCCAGCAGCTCCTATGCTGTTCAAATTCAGAGCATCCCATGACATTGCAAAACATACCTCAATCCTGAACTGCCACACCTTTAGCCAAGCCTGTCATAGGCCTCTCTTGAGCAGTGGATGCCAGTTGCTCTGAGTTTAATGTTTTTGTGATGTGGACAAATGACCAGTAGTGACTAGAATGAAACTACAACAAATGCATTTGACTTGCTAGCGATGATCTCCAGAGGTGAAAAGACTGATTTGGTATCTAGCCCTAGAACTTGGGTTTGTTGATAACTAAGTAATTTTTTAAAATATCATGTTAAAATATTCTACCCTATTTTAAGAATAATAATTATAAGACAAACATATTTCTTCTATTGTTTACCCCAAGCCAGCCAGGCATTGATTTAGCAAAGTGGAGGACAAAAGGCACAAAATACTGATGGAGATGTAATTTCTAAGTCTCATTTTCTGTGTTTCTCTTGCATGTAGGTGTTTGGTTCGCCTTGTGTTGTCAAAAGTCATGGCAGAACCCAAAGAGAATAGGTGAGGCCATTTGCTAAATACATTTCTGTACTATGACTGCCCACTTAAAAAGGTATATATGGTTTTTATTTTCTTAACGTGATTATGGGACCAGTCTCTATTCAAGTCAAACACCAATTGACATAACTGAATAAGAACTTCAGGGACTGGGCCTAGTGGCATCAAGTGCGAACATCTCTTCACCTTCTATAACTTTCCTCCAAGTACCTGCACTCCTCCCCCTCTCCTGTTAACTGGATGCGAGCATGATACTAAATCAGTCCTCAGTGGGGAATGTGGATCAGGCTCTCTGAGGTTGACATCTCCGGTTGACATTTGGAGGATGTGCCTGTCAAGAGCTCTGAGAACTGTGTGGTCTTCCCTGCCAGAGATCAAGCATTTTTCAACTCTGTGTTGAGTGCCCAAAAGCCTGGGAAAGGAATACTGTTGATGGTAGACAATGGGTCTCCTTGGACTGGGCTCTATCACTTTGCTATGACCCAAGTTGGAGTTAGTGCCATACAGCTTAGTTCTGATATTGCAAGGAAACAAGGCTATGAAAATGAAACTTGGAAGATGAGTCTGTGGCCTCCCTTCTGAAAATCTCCTACAACACTCCTCCTTTGGACCTACAGATCTACAGGTCTATAACGCTCTTACTCTTACTACGGGCCTGCAATGCTGCTACTCCAGGTCTTACAACACTATGGGTTTTGAGTCTATATGCTTTTGACAAAAGCAGGAGTACTGTATCTGTAATTAAAGTTATTGTATTCTGTCATACCATATAAAATAATAAAGGTTTGTAAAACTGGATTTTTCTTCCACTCTAGGACTAAATATATGGACATGCTTGTGACTTACTTGACCTCAGGTGCGTAGTTTAATTTCCATTTTCTGTGGTTGTACATCTATGAACATGTTGATGGTACAGTTAATGCTGTGTGTTTCTGCTCTGGAAAGCCTGCAGACTAGTGCTGGAAGAGTTTCATTCCTAATAGGGCCTGTAACAGTGTTAGCTGCGTTCCTCAGACAAAAGGCTCCCCCGTCCTACACAGTTCCCCCTTGGGGAAACGTTCCTTACGATCACAAATGCAGTCAAAACGATCAGGTACCAGCCACACTAGCAGGCTTAGGAGCTTCAGTCTGGGATGGCCCGAAGTGACAGTTCTCTACTCTCTCTGCATGGTTAGGGCTCAAAACAGCATCTTTATTAGGCAAGCAGGAGCGATGACAAAAGAAAAGGTTGTTTTGTTGTTATGAGTTTTCAGTGTGAATTTATAAATTTGGTAGTTAAAGGCCAAGTGCTGGGCTCTTCATTGTCCTAGCTATTTACAAGAAGAGGATTGTTTATATTAAAGTGACTTCTGTTCTTCCTCTGAAACGTAGAAACTGCAGAAAATAATATAAAGTTGGTAAGAGAAGTGAGGGGCTAATTACAATACTGACACTCACTTCAGTTTACCCCTCGCCTCCCTCCCAAAGAATCCCTCTTCTTCTTCGAGTAGTGTTCCTATGGGTGATCCACTGTAGTTGTGTCTCATCCCTGCGCTGCTGATCAGAGAACTTTGGTAGCAATGTCTGTTGGGCCCACGTGCTGTCTCTCCTTGTGCTGCACCACGAGGCAAACCAGTGTGTGCAGGCTAACTGTCCTCAGTTCGCAACCACCCCGACTAGAGATGGAGCCTTTAGCTGCTTGTTAGCGGATCATTAGCTCTCCTTTTCAGTTGTTAATCTTTAGATTTTAGAAACCCTTTAGCCTTCTTTTGACTTTTATTTGGCAGTGCCTTTAAAAAAAAAAATCAACAAAAAGAAGAAAGAAAGACTTTATTCTTGTGTCGACCCCAAGTGTTGGGTGACCCCCCTGGATAAGGATATGCCTGGCTCTCTGGGCTTCAAGAATTGTCGCACTTCCAGAGAAACAATCCCAGTTTTGGACAAGCACTCCTCTTGCATTCACTGTCTCGGAGTGGGCCACATCCAACAAAAGTGTTCCCTCTGCCAGTAGTTCCAACCGAGATCCCACAAGGACAGAGAGCTCTGCCAGAAAATCATCTTTATAGTAGGTTTCAGAGGAACAGCCGTGTTAGTCTGTATTCGCAAAAAGAAAAGGAGTACTTGTGGCACCTTAGAGACTAACCAATTTATTTGAGCATGAGCTTTCGTGAGCTACAGCTCACTTCATCAGATGCAACTTTATAGTAGCGGCTCTCCGACCCCAGCCGTCCAGTGGACGTGACTCTTCTCTTCAACCTTGATTTTGAAGGATAGTGAGTCAAAGAAATGGTCCGGGGACTCCTCTCACAAGTTGAAAAAGAGAGTGGGAAGACCCCTCAGCAAGCCCAGGGATACCTCAAAGCAATCACCACCGTGCTTGGTGTCCTCCGCACCGCTGGCACCAAGATCACCCTGCACCCACGTCTCACGGCGCATGTCCAGTACCGTTGATAGGCCCATGGACCGTTTGGGGACAGACACCGAATCTTCGGTAGAGATACACAAGGGCAAATGCCCTAAGACGCTCCCGGTATGCGAGCTGTCAGTACTGCCAGCAGCTTTGGCCCATGCAGCACTGGAGAGATTGGTATGGGTGAAGTTCCCATCTGCCCTGGCACCACCATCGATGCCAGGACACTTGGTACAGGTAGAATTCCATCAGGCTGGTGACCTGGCTTTATTGACTTTCAGCACCTAGAGAGCTCATGCTGAAAAGAAGTACAAGAGGTTCTCCTGCACAGCAGAAAGTCCTCCATAGGACACTCTTACCTGCAGAAATGGTCCAAGTTTCAGATTTGGTGCACGTCCCACCAAACCTCTTCAGTGTCAGCAACTCTTCCGCATATTCTGGAATATACCCGACTGTTAAAAAATTGGGGTTATCCCTGAGCTCCCTGAATGTCCACCTAGCAGCTATTATAGCATTTCACCAACCCGTAGAAGGGTATTGTACTATCACACCCGACAACTAAGAGGTTCCACCTCTTCATAGGCAGGTATCCTAAGAACACGAGCCAGTCACTCAAGACAGTTAAGAAAAGGTCTTTGAGTCCCTGTAGCGAGCTCTGATCAAGCTGGACACAATCGCCAGCTCCATCGGGATCACTGGTACCAACGGCGCCGAAGACGCCTAAAGCTAGTATCCATGGAATGCCCGGTACCGAGCTGACAGAGCAAGTTGTTCTGCCCAAAGACCTGATGGGTATGGGCAAAGAAGTACCGGTACCATGAGGGCTTGAACGACATGGAATATCCGCCCTGGGGAAGGCCACGGGGGCATGGACATCATCACTGGCACCAACCCCAGTGCATATGGCACTGACTGACCGTACAACCAGGTCCACATCTCCAGTGCCATCAGTACAGACCTCTTGGCACTGACAACCGCCACCAATACCGACGCCCTTTGCACCACCATATTTCCAATGCTCAGTGGATCTCTTGGTGAGACTGACTGTGCTGCATCAAGGTGGAGAGCCTCGGTTGGGGTGTTTGATCCTGCCCCTGTCCTGCATCAGAAGTTCTGGGAAGGGGTGGATTTTAATTGGAGGGTGGACTGACATTGTCAGAAGCTCTGGGAAACAAAACTGTCTGGGCCAGTAGGGTACTAGAAGAATGACATGGCCTCTTTGCAACATATCTTTCTCAGCACCTGGGGAATCAGGGGAGTGGGAGGAAAGGCATACCTGAAACCACTTTTCCATGATAAACAAGAGTATTACCTTGGGTGTCACAGCCTATGGATCCTCTAGAACAATAACGAGGAATTTTTTTTGTTTGTTTATAATACAAAGAGGTCCGATAGAGCTAAGCCCCACTGCGTGAATATTTCTGACAGAACAATCCTGGATTTCCCCACTCGTGGTCCACCAAGAAGTGCCTGCTAAGATTGTCTGCTAAGGAGCTTCTGACAATGTCAGTCCACCCTCCAATTAAAATCCACCCCTTCCCAGAACTTCTGATGCAGGACAGGGGCACGGTCAAACACCCCAACCGAGGCTCTCTTCACCTCATGGCCTTGATGTTTGGATCAGTGTTGGAAGTAGAGGGCTCTTGTTCGTTCCCTCTCCAAGCTATACTTACCCAGCGTAGCAATGAATCCTGAAACTGTTATTTGGCTAAATGGAAATGCTTCTCCACCTTGATGCAGCACAGTCAGTCTCACCCAGTCTTCCCAAGCATCCCTATTGTTTTAGATTACCTCCTGTTTCTAATAAACTCTGGTCTCTCAATCAGCTCGTTATGAGTACATGGAGCACCCATTAGTGCTTTCTTCCTTTCAGTAGAGGGTGGTTTGTCTTTACTCACCCAACAGGGGAATGAGAGACAGGGACTGGATCACTTGATGATTACCTGTTTTGTTCATTCCCTCTGGGACAGCTGGCATTGACCACTGTCAGATGACAGGATACGGGCTAGATGGACCGTTGGTCTGACCCAGTATGGCTGTTCTTATGTAACTACGACACAGTTCATGAAGGGACTCGTAAGGCCTCATGGCCAGTCATTAAACCCACACCACTATGAGATCTGAACCTTGTGCTGTCAAAACTTACTGGTCCTTTGAACTCTTAGCAACATGTTCCATGTCCCTCCTATCCACGAAGGTGGCGTTTTTAGTGGCCATCATTTTGGCCAGGAGGGTCAGCAAACTGGGAGCTCTCATGGTGGACCCCCTCCCCTTTATATTATTCCATAAGAACAAAGTATCCCTTCACCTTCACCCTAAATTTCTACCGAAGATCATCTATTAATTCCACTGTAACCAGTGTATTCACTTACATGTTCTTTTTCTGAAACTCTGCTTTCTGCTTTGTCTGAAGAGAAGAGACTTTACTCCTTCAACATCAGATGTGCATTGGCCTTTTACCTGCAAAAAAACGAGGCCATCAGGAAGTCTCCGAGACTCTCTGTCGCGATAGCAGAGAGATCCCGTGGTTAAGCTAAATCCTCTCAGAAGATTTCTAAGTGGGTTCTGTTTGTATTATTGAATGCTACAAACTGGCATGCATCCTGCCTCCCTGCGGTATAATGGCCCACTCCATGAGAGAGCAGGCTGCCACGGCAACATCCCTGCAGCAGGTCCCAATACAGGACATATGCAGAGCAGCCACCTGGAGCTCCATACACACGTTTGCTAGGCATTATGTTCTAGCTGTGGATGCAGCAGTGGGATCTGTAGTACTGCACACATATTTGTTTCTGGCTTCCTTGCGCACATGTCCAATCTGAGAACTGCTTGTCAGTCACCCATGTGTGGAATATACATAGGGACCAGCACTTGAAGATAGAATGAAGGTTACTTACTGTAACTGAAAGTTCTTTGAGATGTGTGGTCTATATCTATTACCCTACCTGCCCTCTGTTCCTTCTACTTCAGCTCTGGATTGGATTCGTGGTAAGAAGAGGAACTGTGGGGGCACTGACCCTCACTGCCTCATGTACCCTCGCTCAGGAGCACGAGGTGATCTTTTGTGCAGGTACAGGCCAATGGACAATGCTTGTTAAAATCTGTGAGCTCGGGCGCATGGTGTGCATTGTGGGCAGCGCATGAACTGCTGGCTGGAGAAGGCTAGCCCCTGGCCCTGCCTCTTCCACCTAAGGCCCTGCCCCTTCTGCACCCCTGGAACACAGAGCCCCCCCACTGCAGCTGTCGGCCCCCGCCCCAGGCTGGCTAGTGCCCGCAGCCTCCCCAGTCCTGGAGCTCTGGGAGGCAGAGCATGCAGCAGCACCACTGCAGCCTCCCCCGCCCCAGAGCATGGTGGTGCCGCAGCCCCCCCAGCCCTGGAGAGCCGGGAGGGAGAGCGCGTGGCACCGGGAGGGAGAGCGCGTGGCACCGGGAGGGAGAGCGTGTGGCACGGCCACAGCCCCGGGAAGGTGGGCGACATGACCCCAGCCACTGGAGCTCAGCGGCACCCTCAGAGCGGGACCCTCGGGGTGGAGTGTGGGCGGGGCCACGCCTGGCTGTTTGGGGAGGCACAGTCTCCCCTGCCCACCACTCATGGTGTGCATGCATATCCTATGTGTGAAATACAGGGACCACACATCTCAAAGAATTTCCAGTTACAGGAAGTAACCTCTCTTTTTATTAGACATTTTCTCTCCTCTCTTCCTGTCTTGGAAGCCCCTGAGAAAATATACATTTAGTCCTGTAGCTGCTGTAGTTACCATGACCATGTCAGGGAGAGTGAAGAGCTCATGTAATAGAATCATAGGGCTAGAAGGAATCTCGAGAGGTCATCTAGTTCAGTCCTCTGCATTCATGGCAGGACTAAGTATTATCTAGACCATCCCTGACAGGTGTCTGTCTAACCTGCTCTTAAAAATCTCCAATGACAGAGATTCCACAACCTTCCTAGGCAATTTATTCCAGTGCTTAACCACCCTGACAGTTAGCAAGCTTTTCCTAATGTCCAACCTAAATCATCCTTGCTGCAGCTTAAGCCCATTGCTTCTTGTCCTATCCTCAGAGGCTAAGGAGAATATTTTTTCTCCTTCCTCCTTGTAACAACCTTTTATGTACTGGAAAACTGTTATCATGTCCCCCCTCGGTCTTCTCTTTTCCAGACTAAACAAGCTCAGTTATTTGAATCTTCCCTCACAGGTCATGTTTTCTAGACCTTTAATAATTTTTGTTGCACTTCTCTGGACTTTCTCCAATTTGTCTACATCTTTCCTGAAATCATAGAATCATAGAATCATAGAATCTAAGGGTTGGAAGGGACCCCAGAAGGTCATCTAGTCCAACCCCCTGCTCGAAGCAGGACCAATTCCCAGTTAAATCATCCCAGCCAGGGCTTTGTCAAGCCTGACCTTAAAAACCTCTAAGGAAGGAGATTCTACCACCTCCCTAGGTAACGCATTCCAGTGTTTCACCACCCTCTTAGTGAAAAAGTTTTTCCTAATATCCAATCTAAACCTCCCCCACTGCAGCTTGAGACCATTACTCCTCGTTCTGTCATCTGCTACCATTGAGAACAGTCTAGAGCCATCCTCTTTGGAACCCCCTTTCAGGTAGTTGAAAGCAGCTATCAAATCCCCCCTCATTCTTCTCTTCTGCAGGCTAAACAATCCCAGCTCCCTCAGCCTCTCCTCATAACTCATGTGTTCCAGACCCCTAATCATTTTTGTTGCCCTTCGCTGGACTCTCTCCAATTTATCCACATCCTTCTTGAAGTGTGGGGCCCAAAACTGGACACAGTACTCCAGATGAGGCCTCACCAATGTCGAATAGAGGGGAACGATCACGTCCCTCGATCTGCTCGCTGTGCCCCTACTTATACATCCCAAAATGCCATTGGCCTTCTTGGCAACAAGGGCACACTGTGACTCATATCCAGCTTCTCGTCCACTGTCACCCCTAGGTCCTTTTCCGCAGAACTGCTGCCTAGCCATTCGGTCCCTAGTCTGTAGCTGTGCATTGGGTTCTTCCGTCCTAAGTGCAGGACCCTGCACTTATCCTTATTGAACCTCATCAGATTTCTTTTGGCCCAATCCTCCAATTTGTCTAGGTCCTTCTGTATCCTATCCCTCCCCTCCAGCGTATCTACCACTCCTCCCAGTTTAGTATCATCCGCAAATTTGCTGAGAGTGCAATCCACACCATCCTCCAGATCATTTATGAAGATATTGAACAAAACCGGCCCCAGGACCGACCCTTGGGGCACTCCACTTGACACCGGCTGCCAACTAGACATGGAGCCATTGATAACTACCCATTGAGCCCGACAATCTAGCCAGCTTTCTACCCACCTTATAGTGCATTCTTCCAGCCCATACTTCCTTAACTTGCTGACAAGAATACTGTGGGAGACCGTGTCAAAAGCTTTGCTAAAGTCAAGAAACAATACATCCACTGCTTTCCCTTCATCCACAGAACCAGTAATCTCATCATAAAAGGCGATTAGATTAGTCAGGCATGACCTTCCCTTGGTGAATCCATGCTGGCTGTTCCTGATCACTTTCCTCTCATGCAAGTGCTTCAGGATTGATTCTTTGAGGACCTGCTCCATGATTTTTCCAGGGACTGAGGTGAGGCTGACTGGCCTGTAGTTCCCAGGATCCTCCTTCTTCCCTTTTTTAAAGATTGGCACTACATTAGCCTTTTTCCAGTCATCCGGGACTTCCCCTGTTCGCCACGAGTTTTCAAAGATAATGGCCAATAGCTCTGCAATCACAGCCGCCAATTCCTTCAGCACTCTCGGATGCAACTCGTCCGGCCCCATGGACTTGTGCACGTCCAGCTTTTCTAAATACACACAGAACTGGATACAATACTCCAGTTGAGGCCTAATCAGCGTGGAATAGAGCAGAAGAATTACTTCTTGTGTCTTGCTTACAACACTCCTGCTAATACATCCCAGAACGATGTTTGCTTTTTTTGCAACAGTATTACACTGTTGGCTCATATGTAGCTTGTGAGCCACTATGACTCCCAGATCCCTTTCTGCAGTACTCCTTACTAGGCAGTCATGTCCTATTTTGTAGGTGTGCAACTGATTGTTCCTTCCTAAGTGGAGTACTTTGCCTTTGTCCACGTTGAATTTCATCCTGTTTTTTTCAGACCATTTCTCCAGTTTGTCCAGATCATTTTGAATTTTAATTCTATCCTCCACTGAAGAAGTTTCCTCCACTGGACTCAAGTGGGACCCTAAGAATAGTATTTCAGAGGGCTGAGGGGATTAATTTTCTTGCCCCAACCTCCTCCCATCAGATTAAGCCAAACCCCACAGACCCCCAGTTGGGCCCCAATGTCAATGAATTTCTTGGTGAAGGGGCATGACTCATTTTGTTTGTATGTCCCTTGTGACAGTCCTGCCTATCTAGCTGGAAATGCTAGTTTGGGCACATTCTAATGTTTTTCTGTGAGCTCTCTCTAAATATATTAGATCAAACCTATGAGTGGTACCCCACATGCTGAAATACTCAGATTTCTGAAGCCCCAGAAATGTGTGTTATAGTTAATATTGGGCATAGGAAATGCAGTTGTTCTGCTAAGGAAATGTTTCATATCTGTCAAATGACATGTTTCTGCAGCACATCAGAGACTTGCTGAGTCTTTCACAGAAGGGAGTATGACACTGGACATGAGGACCCGTGAGGCTCACTGGTTTAGAAAAATAGGTGAGTAGCACTGCCAGCATGTAAACAGAGGGAGGAAAGGGCAAAGGGTTGGGAATAAAAACCAGTTTGTGAAGAACTAACACTTGGTGATCTCTGACTCTTCCTGCAGCAAAGTTTTGACTTACAGAATAAATTTCTTATGGAAACTTAGGGCTTGTCTACACTTAACGGGGGATTGACATGTGGCAATCGATGCATCGGCGGTCGATTTAGTGGCTCCATTGAAGACCCGCTAAATTGACCGCAGATCGCTCTCCCGTCGACTCCTGTACTCCACCTGAACAAGACACGCAAGGGGAGTTGACGGGAGAGCATCTCCCATCGACATTGCGTAGTGTGGACCCTGCGGCAAGTAGATCTAAGTACGTCGACTTCAGCTACGTTATTCACGTAGCTGAAGTTGCGTAACTTAGATCTATCTCCCCCCATAGTGCAGACAAGGCCTAAGATCTGATTTAGGGAAGGCATGACCCAAGGAAGAGGGTAACATGCAGGTCAGAATCTGCAAATCACTGTAGAATCTGAGCAGCTGATTGGGCCAGTTAGATACTCAGATTCTTCAGTGATGGGAATGACACAACTGTCAAGAGGGATAGATCACTGATGAATCTTTATGGGAGTGGTATGCTTAATTCTCTTCTGAATGTACTTGTCAGGATAGAAACTGTATGCAGAGCAGTCTGAAATGATTGCCTTTTATGGCTCTGGGGATGGTATTGGATACTTTCAGCTAGATTCTGTGTAAATCTGTAGTAAATCCATTAAAGTTAAAGGAATTATTCTAGTTTCATACTGGAGTAATTTAGATCAGAATCTGGCTTTTCTTTATTCAACTTGATGTGAATGGATTTAATGGCAGAATGATTAGTTATTGAAATAACGGATTTGAAATCATGAATAATCTATATTAATAGCATCTACTGACAGTATTTCCTGCTGTTGTTAAATGAGCCCTATGACGGGTTCAATCACAGAGACCCCCTTGGGACTGTCACCTGACATGCTGAAGTTACCTCTGAGCCCATTTTCCCTGCCAGCTTGGGACTCCAGAACCCTGCCTTGTTGACCCAGACACGCTAGCCTGCTGCAACACAGACCCAGGGCTGGTCCATGCCCCCAAAGCTGCAGACTTTAACCAAAAACTGCTCAGCAGGTCACCTATCTCCAGCACCCAGATACCCAGCTCGCAATGGGATCCAAACCCCAAATAAATGTGTTTTACTCTGTATGAAGCTTATACGGGGTAAACTAATAAATTGTCCACCCTCTATAACACTGATAGAGAGATATGCACAGCTGTTTGCTCCCCCAGGTATTAATCACTTACTCTGAGTTCACTAATACACAAAAGTGATTTTATTAAGTATAAAAAGTAGGATTTAAGTGGTTTCAAGTAGTAACAGACAGAACAAAGTAAGTCACCAAGCAAAATAGAGCAAAACCACGCAAGTCTAAGCTAATACATTAAGAATTTGTTTACAGGTAAAATCTCACCCTTAGAGATGTTCTAATAAGCCTCTTTCACAGACTAGACTTCTTCCTAGTCTTTCCCAATCTTTCCCCTGGTACAGTCCTTGTTAGTTCCAGCTCAGGTGGTAATTAGGGGATTTCTCATGACTGGCAGCCCCCTTTGTTCTGTTCCACCCCCTTTTATAGCTTTAGCCCAAGGCAGGAATCTCTCTGGGTCCCCACCCCTCCTTCTAAATGGAAAAGCACCAGGTTTAAGATGGATTCCAGTATCATGTGACATAGTGACATGTCACTGTAAGATCTCATTCTTCATTACACAGGAAGGCTTGCAGGTAAATAAACCCATTCACAACCAAATGTCCGAGTCAATGGGATCCATCAAGATCCTAAACCACCATTAATGGCCCACACTTTGCATAATTACAATAGGGTCTCAGGGTAATTCTTTCATATTTCTAGTTTCAGATACAAGAATGATACATTCATACAAATAGGATGAATATATTCAGTAGGTTATAACATTTGTAATGATACCTTACAAGAGACCTTTTGCATAAAGCATAATCCAGTTACATCATATTCACATTCATAAAGCATGTGGAGTGCAACGTCACAAGCCCCATGTTTAAAATTTAATACTCGGCCCGAAATGCCTGTCACTGGAGATTTTATGGGCACAGATTATACCAGGCTGAAGGTTTTTATTCTAGTCTCCTGTCTTATTGATTTTATGAGCTTGGAACTTGGCTGTACAGTTCGAGAACTGCCGAGGAACAATGAGGGATTTCTTTGTACTGTCGTTCAAGGTATGTGCTCTGCCTAGTATTATCTGTGATGTGATAGATGATGTCGTGCAGGTGGCTTTGTTACAAGCTCCAAACAAATACATCAGATGTTTCCTTAGAGCAGTGCTACTCAAAGTGGGTCCGCGAGCCACCGGCTGCCAGTATGCGCACACATTGGAAAAAAAAATTGCCGGTCCCCCACATCAGATAGCTTGAGAAGCACTGTCTTAGAGAGCTTCAGTTGGGTACCCTGGGGGTTAGATGCTTTGGTCACCCAGAGGAAAATCATTGACAACTTCAGATTTTGGAATTATAGTCACACTTTACGTTATGTGGTTTAAAAACTGGAATTCAAAACATTTAAATTAAAAGGACAATTTCAAACACCAGGTGATCACTGAAGTTTGGCCACTGATGCAAATCTATTACACAGACAACTCTTCTCCATCTCCTCTGCATGCAGAACTCCCTTTTAACATTATGGTTTATATACATGTTAATAGAGAGGGGCCCCAAAGTTGTTAGACCTCTGATATTGTAAATAATCCTCTGGTTTAATTAATACGCATTGTCCAGTGTACTACACCTGATTAATTACTAAGAACCTAATTGTTAAGGTTCAACCATCATCCATTCAGTAGGCTATTCATGTACTTATCAATTACATACACATTATACCTCAGTAAATACACTTTTAATAATCAGTTCTTCAAGTAGTGTCCTGTTGGGTGCTCCACTTCAGGTATACTCCCACCCCTTGCACCTTTAATCAGAGGTTTTTGGTGGTGGTGCCTGTTCGGCCATGCACACACCCTATGGTTTCTTGTGCCCCGTGCTGAGGCTATACATGGTTGCACGGATAAGCTACCCTCAGTTTCTTCTCAATCATCTCTGCCTGAGATGGAGCACTAGTGTGCCTGACTTTCAAAGTCTCTTAGCCTAGTTGCCCTTCTTTAGCTTCTTGTTTTTTCTTTAGTTATTTCATTTACTTTTTATTTAGGAGTTTAGGGGGGACTTTCTCTTGATCCCTTTTCCCTTTTGGGAGGGAGACATTCCCCTTTTACATACTGTTGTCCTGGGATATGCTAGACTCTCCAGGTGTCAAGTGGTGCATTTCTTGCCAAGAGGCCATCCTTGTCAGTGACGGGCATTCCTGTTGTATCTGCTGCGTGGGAGAGTCTCAGATCCTCCAAAAGTAATCCATCTGCACTTCTTTTTACGGCAGGGCAAGAAAAAACCAGGACCTAAAAGTGAGACTCCTAATGATGGAGCATTCCCTCCAACCAGCCTCAGATCCAGGCTTGCCCCGCAGACATCAGTTGCTGAATTAAGATAGTGCTATGTTCATCTGGGTCTACCCGAGATAAATCCATGGAGAAGACCCACAGAAAATAGTCATTCTCCACAGAAAAAGTCAAACACAAAAAAGACCTTGGTCCCTGCAGAGCAAGGGGACCTCATGTCCCACCCTGGATATGGCTGTGGCTCCAGACATTCTTGGTATGGATCCTGTGCCTGGGGTTCTGGGCTCAGCAGAGAAAAAGGGCAGCAAGCATGCCTCGGTAACTAAAACCTTTGGTGCCGCACAAGCAGGACACTGCCTTATCAAATCATTCCACCTCTAAGATAACGGAACCCACAACTCCTTCAGTACTATCTACATCTAAATTGACCACTGAGATACCGCAAAGACACCATGCCTCTCATATGATCTTGGCACCCCCCAAGGCATTCTCATTGGTATTGTCCACTTTGACTGGAGTGGACTTGCCAGAGCAGCATATATTCTCGGTACCGACAACAGAACAGGTCCTTGCACTCCAAACCCAGCCGGTACCTCAGGAGTTTGGATTCTTGCTGGATCTGTTTGTTTCGGAGGAGCTGGAGTTTCCCTTGTTAGTTGGTACTGAGAGATTATTGGTACCGAGACAAGCCCAGTCACCAATGTGGGACATTTCTCCAGTACCACTTGATTCTCACTTGCAGAGTATGCTGGAACTCCCCTTCTTGAAGAGGAGGAATTTTCCTCCAATTCGAATATTTTGATCTAGGATTCCTCTGACACTTCAGACAAGGGATTTCTATCCTGGCACTTTTGAGAAGATGGGGGAGTTGCACCAAAGACAGCCCCATGTTCCCCCGACCTGGTTCAAGCACCAGGTGATGCCATCACCAGTGCCTTTTGGACCTCTCCAGTGGCCATATTGGGATCCTTGGGCGACATATCCTCAGCAATTATCCCATGCCCCTCGTCTCTCTCATGGGGCATACAGAGTGACATGCTCCCCTACTCAAGCCTCCTCCATTACCTCAGGCACAAAAATCTTTTAGCAGGAGGCTAGGGTAGAGAAAGAGGGAACTCCCCAAACAAATATTTCTTCATCTTCCCCAATGAAGTGGCTGTGCTTCCCCACTGACTGTGACTGATGACTTCACACATGTCCAATAGTTAATGAAGCATGTTGCGGAGTCCCTCCATATTCCCTTGGAAGAAGTCATGGAGTCACAACATAAGCTTCTGGACATCCCCCAGTGGACTGCCTCTACCCGAGTTGCCCTGCCTATTAATGAGGCTCTGATGGATCCTGCAAAATCCATCTGGCGGACTGCTGCAACAATTCTGCTGATCTGTAAATGGGCCAATAAGAAATAATATGTCCCAGCTAAAGACTCTGAATTTCTGTTCATCCGTCCAACTCTGAACTCCCTGCAGCAGTGAACAAATGTGCCAGACAACATTACGCAAAGGCCACACCATATGATAAGGACCAAAAATGCCTCCATCTATTTGGCAGAAAGACCTACTCATCCATGACTCTTCAATTTAGGATCATCAACTCTTAAGTTTTTATGGCTAAATACCATACACTCAAATTATGCCAAATTCATCACTTTTATTGAGCATTTGCCGGGTGATCAGCATGACCAGTTTCAGGCTATTATTGACTCGTGTCATCTGTTAGCTAGAACATTGCTACGTCTCGTTGGATACATTCAACGCTGCCGCTCAATCCATCTCTACTGCAGTAATCATGAAGAGGGCATCCTGGCTCCATATGTCTGGATTCTCAAGGGAGGTCCTAAACACTGTTGAGGACCTTCCCTTCAGTGGTCTCAAACTGTTTTCTGAGTTCTCTGATGATTTGCTGCATACTTTTAAGGATTCCAGAGCCATGCTGAGATCTCTCAGGATTTACAGATCTACAAACAAACGAAGGTTTAGTAGATCCCAGATGGCTCAAAGATCCCAGCATGCTTCATTCTCAGGATCCCAGAGACTGTATGAACTGCATAAGAAAAAATTGAGATTCCAGAGAAAGGAACCACTTGCTCCCTATATGCCTGCTGCTGAACCATCATCGTCACTTAAGCACTACTTTTAATGGCCTGGTCAAGGTCCTGAAACTATCCCACAACACTGAGATGCGTGTATACTATTTTACTCGTCTTTCACCTTTTGGAAACCATCTCTCCACTTTCTTTCTGCATAGGAGAGACCCACATTGGACAAATGGGTGCTGGAGGTTATAAGATTAGGTATGCTATCCATTTTACCTCCCTCCCCTATACCCAGTTCCCTTCCCTGTCCCTCTGCTGGGAGCCCTCTCATGAGCCCCTGTTAAAGCAAGAAGTTGACTCACTTCTACAAATGGGTGCTGTAGAACCAGTTCCTGTTCAGCACAGAGGGAAGGGGTTTTATTTTAACCACTTTCTAACCACTTCCTGACAAAGAACAGAGGGGCAGAGAGTCATTTTAGATCTAAGGCAGGGGTCTCAAACACGCGGCCCGTGGGGCTATTTCCTGCTGCCCGCCAGCTCCCCGCAGTCCCCACCCCCCAACGTTTACCTAGAGAGGCTCCAGCCCGATACGCACCGGGGGCAGGGCAGGTTCCCTGCCTGCCTGCCCTGCCCCCACACCGCTCCAGGAAGTGGCTGGGACCTGGGGGAAGGGGGTGCCCGGGGTCTGTGTGTTGCTCTTGCTCCAGGCACCGCCCCCAGCAGCTCCCATTGGCCTATGGGAGCTGCTGGGGATGGTGCCTGGAAGCAACAGCAACGCATAGACCCCTGTGGCCCCCCCCCAGGTTCTGGCTGCTTCCCGGAGTGGCGTGGGGGCAGGCAGGGAGCCTGCCCTGCCCCTGGTGCGCACCGGGCCAGAGCCCGCCCCCCGAACCCTTCTTGCAGCCGAACCCCCTGCCCTGAGCCCCCTGCTGCACCCCACACCCCTCCTGCACCCTGACCCCCTGCCCTGAGCCCCCTGCTGCTCCCTGCACCCCAACCCCCTGCCCTGAGCTCCCTGCCACACCCTGCACCCTGACCCCCTGCTGCATCCCTCACCCTTCCTGCACCCCACACCCCAACTCCCTGCCCTGAGCCCCCGCCACACCCCTCCTGCAGGTGGTGGAGGAGGGGGTGGAGTTGGGGTGGGGATTTCAGGGAAGGGGTTGGAATGGGGGCAGGGAAGGGGTGGGAAGAGGCGGGGCAGGGGTGGGGCCTCATGAAAGGGGTTGAGTGGGGGCAGGGCCGAGGGTGACGTGTGCGGAGATGTCAGTAATGCGGCCCTTGGGCCAATGTACTAGTCCTCATGTGGCCCTCGTGGTCATTTGAGTTTGAGACCCCTGATCTAAGGGCTTGTCTACACTGGCACTTTACAGCACTGCAACTTTCTCGCTCAGGGGTGTAAAAAAACACCCCCTGAGCGCAGCAAGTTTCAGTGCTGGAAAGCATCAGTGTGGACAGTGCACTAGCACTGGGAGCCGCGCTCCCAGCGCTGGTAGCTACGCCCCTCGTGGAGGTGGGTTTTTTAGGGTGCTGGGAGACCTCTCTCCCAGCACTCTGCAGTGACTACACAAGCCACATTAAAACGCGGTCGCAGCAGCGCTTTAGCATTGTGAGTGTAGAGTAGCCCTAAGAGTCCCCAACAATTTTGTTAGGTCTCAAAAATTCAGGATGGTATCCGGCACAGCTGTAATTCTGTCATTAGAACCAGGAAAATGGTTTATGACCCTCGATCATAATAGGAT